CGGGGATCTACATCCCCAACAATAATATAGTAATCTAGCTTATGGAATCTTTTCAAAACTTTTTTTTTGTTTAAAGGTTTGGATTATTTGCTCTACCAAATTAATTCATACTTTAAAACTATAGCTAGCTAATGTAAAATCAATTGCACAATATGGAGTAGTTGTATTTAAATATGCCATTTAATCCAACCAAAAAATTTAACTGATAACAATTATAATAATATCTCTTTGTAAATAGAAGGAGATTTTTTCTAAAATTACAAACATATTTTTTACAACTTTATACAAGGGATTCAAGCTTACAGCTTATGCTTATATTAATTCAACGACTTAATGGTTGACTGATTGCCGGTTAACCAACTAAAACTAATAAAATATAAAGTTATAAACTGTATGTATGATTCACATCAATGCATTGGTTAATTGAGCATTGAATGGTGTAAGCATTCGACTAGAAATTAAAAGAAATCTGTGATGGGAATAATATAATTTGACAATGAAAAATTCTTATTTATCAGATGAACTGTGTTAACTAACTAACAGCTTTGAGGTTTTATGAGAAAGGTAGTGTTGGAGATGCTAGATCCTCTGAACTCGCTTGATAAATGCCTTAATTTTGGATTTCACGTTTGCGAGCATGGGTTGATCAGTTGACCTTGAGAGTTCATTTCCTACCAGGAAAATCCATGGCTGTGATTGGCTGCTGTGTATTTTAGTGTGCTATTTTTGTGACTGTCCCAAGTATAAATAAGTGAGAGTTGAATGCTTGATCGTATTGTGCTTGCTGGGTGTTTGTAGAATATACTTTCTACGCTTATCAAGACTCCTGTTTTGCCGTTTTCGAATCAAGGTGGCCTACCTGGACGCTGGTTCATTGTTTCGTTCACGTTTATCGACTAAGGTAAATTCGTAATAGCTTCAAGCGTACCTAGTGACGAATCTAACAGTTAGAAGTCAGTGTTATGATATAAACAATTATAGAAATTCTCTGAATTACACGAAACTCGACTTTATCCAACTACAGCTCAATATCACATGAACACTTTCATTTAAACGTTAATATATATATACACACACACAAGAAAGTTATTACAGTTTCTATTCTAATATTCATTTACTTACATCCACTAACATTTCATTGGTTAATATTCTGCTTTCGCCACCATTGAGTGTTGGTACATGAATTGAGTGTTCTATACTTTCTAGCATTTCTTCAACTAAACTACGTCGATGAGATACAGTAGAATTAGGATCCAACATTTGCTCCTATTGGTCAAAACAAATCACAGTAAATAAAAATATTATTACAAGAATCTTGTAAGTATTAAGCACATTAGATAAATACCTGTAAACCAACTATATATGTTACGAAAGAAATATATTTCCATACAAGATTGTTAAACAGATTAGATAATGTTAAGCAATCTATATTATATATGTATATAGAAAAGTATTTTTAACATCAAATATTATTTGCTTAACGATACAACACTGAAAAAATTTGACATTTTCTTATCTAGTGTAAACAAACACTTAATGAAAAAAGATAAAACTTAGGTACAACTCGATAAGAATAAAATTTAATTATGGAAAGAGAAAAGAAGAAAGATTTAAAGGTAGTATTACATGAGAGTAATGACTTTTAAAGCTGATATTTTGTGATGACGTGATTTTAAGTATCAATTTAATAGGATAAAAATAAAGCTTCTTATTGTTTTCTTCCGTCCTTGAGCGATTACGTTCAAAGGTATGATAATGTATTTTCCTAGTCGTACAGTCAATATAACTGGCGCTGAAACAGTAGTCGGAATGGTAAACAAAGAAGCAGACAAAAACACTAAGTACTTCAAGGTTTCTAATGGTAGTCTAACTTTGATCGATTCATGAATTCAATGAGTAAGATAACAATCACCAAAACCCCCTATTATAAGTAAATAATCTATTTTCTGAAATCATTATTGGTTGACTGAAGAAAGTAGGGTATAATCTTGCTTCACTGAATGTACATTCTACTGCTTTTCGTATAATTCAAATGACTATTTCTTTGAATAAAAAACTTTTAAAGATGTCATTTCAGTCAGAAAGTCATTCCTGATATAATTAATTAGTGATTTAATTTTCTATTTAATTGCAGAGACACATCAATCATGAATAAGTTTAGATTCATTTTTAATAGTATATTCATGAATAACCATCAAAACTATTGAAGAAACATATTTTCCAAAGCAAATCAACAGTTTAATCACTGATTATACCAAGAAAGCTTTTCTGACTGAAATAATACCTTAAAGTGATATAGGCAACTAAATAGTAGTTTCACAAATATGAAAAGACGTAGAACATCTATTCAATGGGGAAATTACATCTGATGAACCAATTCATTTGTCCTACGTTTGACCTTTTAAAACATGTTCAAGGAATATTAAGTATGATCAATCATTTTCTTTCCGGGCATAAATGTTTTGTCGTATACAGGAGTTGGTGGTAGTGTGGTGCGAGCTACTTATAAGTAGTATATGACGTGAGTGTCAACGTAATGTCTGGCAGCAGAAGATGGGGGAAGATCAAGAAAGGAAGAGTTAGAACACAATGGAATTTGTATGAAACGCATGAATACTGACAATGGATTGATGTTTTGCAACAGGAACAGTCCAGTTCGATATGATGGACTGATCTTTTGCAAATTAACGATTTACGATATGGTTTTCCGATTTTACTGAGTAACTCTGTAATTTTCGTAAATACAATCCGGTTGCCCCACCTGTGTTCTCGTTCACTACAGTAGCATTGGAAAGGAACCTCTTGACCTTTATAACCTATTTGATTCAACTACGTCAAAGAATTGAAACCAATATGATGTTTAGCTTACTGTTTGTTGTTGATCGTCTCCACCATGTTATTACTTTGATAGATTAAGTGTAAATATAAATGGATTTCATGCTAGTGTAATAATCTCTTGAAGCTTTTTTGCTTTAGTTTTCTCCACAATATCAATCAGTTGTATATATGTCTCATTTCTATTTCAGAAGCTTGATTATCTCATTTAATCTTGTGGTAAAAAAAAGTAAAACGATCTAGCATGACTTTGGTTTTTTTCTCAATGTGATCAATGAAAATCATGTTTATATATATATATATATATATATATATATATATATATATATATATGCCGATTATTCGATTGTCAAAATCGGTTCGTAAACAACAACAACAACAACTAAATAATACAATCGAATTTGTATATGAAATCAAAGAATGCATTATCGGAAGTGAATAAAACTAGTCGAATATTTCATTCATTTATAAAATATATCACAAGCTTGATCACACACAAGAAATGGTAAGAAAAAAAAACACAGAAATCGGACTTTATAGTTAATTTTTTTTTAAGAAAAAAAAAATACATTCAACAGAATATGAAAAAATAGCCTAAAATAAATTTATAAATATTTAAATTATCTAAAATCAAAACATATATATCTCCTCTAACAATAGACAAGAATAAAATGAATAATTCAGAAATATTTTTAAAAAAAGAGTGTCTACAATTCCTTCCTTTTTTTATTTGCATAAATGTTTCATAATGAGAACATAGTGCATGAATGAATAATTTTTTATGAAAGTGGTAAAACTCTTAATCCATTAGACTTTGTACTGTTGAATTGTGAATTTATTTTACATTTATTTTAATTAGCTTATTTCATTATCACATGATTATGTGACAATGAACAATATATAATTGAATCACAGTAGAAATATCATATTTTGATGAAGGTTATGTGCCTCAATTCATTAAGGAATAGGTAGCCTGTCTAATTATTTCGATATAATGATGTTAAATTTAGCCAGTAAATCTGTTGACCTTGTGCTAGAACGTAACCAGTGACACAATAATAGGACAGTATATCTATTCTCAGCGGTTTAGGCCAACTAACTCTAACTAGAGCAAGAAGTACAAAGTCAGTAGGAAGATTGTATAATTCACAAGCAGCACAATACAAAAAATGTCCTTGGGAGAGTTTATATAATAGCACACTAAAAGAGAAAATTAACCAATGAGGTTATAGGTCCTTCCATGTGGGAGACACGAACTGAAGATAATAAGAGGTGCGGGTGGCTCGAAAATAAGGAATTCAAATTTCCGAAAAACAAATTAGAAGATTAAAAGAGTTTCTAGGTGATTTCTGTGGGATCTAGCATGTCCAACAAAATCATTATGTTATTTTCATCTTTCATCATACATGACAGCATCATGACTGAAATATCAGTCGAAACTCTTCAATATTCAGATCAAATTTTTACCTAACAAACTATTTTATCAATAACTGCCAACATGACAATCATTTTAACTTCAACGACTGCCTCCTCTCAAGATTAAGAAACTTTTTCACAATGACTAATCTCAATTCTACGTACAGTTGTATGTCAATCAAATGTTGTTTCGTAACAGTGGCTCGATTTACAACAGTCAGATTGGCATTATAACTTTCCAGAACAAAACAAAACAAAAGCGCAAAAAGGTAACGTGATGATTAAGAGCTGACAAAAACTTAGCTAGTGAACAAAAATGTACGTGATAAAATTATTCTTTGTGAAGAAACTTTTTACTGTCTCAAAAATCGATCATACTGCACAGTACATGCATATATTTGTATATACAAATGACCTTCAGCGAAAGAACGAGATAACTTATGAAAAGAAATCAAAGCCAATAAGGTGGAAGAGTGGAAAACTCAGGAATTCAGGCACAAAATAATGATAAATTGATTTGTAAAGCTAGACAAAAAAATGCAAGTTTTGTTTGTATTTAGAAGATGAGTCAGGTAGAATAATACAATGAAAAAACGTCTTTCATAAAATATGTAAAATTAGGTGAATAAATGAAGAAATTAATTATGTCGAGCGAAAAATCCCATTCAGAAATTTGGTAAAAAGATGAACAGGGAGAAATTTTCTTTGCAATAAGTTTTTACTGAAATCACGAATCAATGTTAGGCCACCAATATAAACCTGGAACTACTAGCCGGCTTATTCGTCCCATCAGCAGTGCGCAACCACAAGCCTGTGAGCGAGAATCGAGCCCAAAAGCTTCGGTCTCGCGCATGAACACTTAACTTCTTGACCACTAAGCCAGTATCCAACAATGTTAATGCCGCATACCTCAGATCAATCCACAATAGTGCGCGACTTAATTATGCTTGCGAGGTCGTAGATGCACAATGCGGTTGAGTCCCACATACTAGGACGAAACAACTGTCCAACGCCGCTTCCAGGTTCCTAAAGGTGGTCGTCTAACATTGATCGATTCATAGTTTTAATGAAAATCAGAAATGTACACAACTCTCTATAATGACATTTAGTTTCTTATTAAGATTATAACAACAACTAATTGACTCTATTCATTCATTTAACTAGGTGTTTTGTTGAAAAATTGAAAAGAGACAAAAACAAAGCATTCTACTAATATGAGTTTATCTACACTGGTACTAAATCTAGATGAAATATTACACCATTACTCATATCATCAAGTATATGAGATTATCTAAACTGTGTTCATCAGGCTGGTACGATATTGAATGCATAGAAATCACAATTAAGAAGCATAAGACAGTAAAGAAATTAAGCTGGATATATATAGTGGATGATTAACTTCTTATTTGTTGTTGTTGTTGTTGCTGTTATTGAAAATGCTTACCTTTTCAGATAAACGATTCTCAGTGACGATTTGTTCAGAATCATTGTTGTTCTTCACTTCTGTCTGTTTGTCTAAATTGCCTACACCAGCACGTAGAAGAAAACTGTAGACTTGTGTAAGGCTTTAAATAAAAAAAAACAATGAATAAATAAACAAATAATTGAATTAACATTTTGATTAAAAAAAAATTTCAAAACAAAATAAAAACAATATTTTCTCAGACTCGCAAAACTTTTTTTTTAGAAAAAAAATCATTGTTGTTTGTTTGTTTGTGATTTCTAAGTAGTCAATATTAGTTTTTTTTTTGTTTTTACTATTTTCTTGTAAAACATCAAACAATCAATTTCTATGTTTTGTTGTACTCATTAAAACAAAACAAAACAAAAAAAATCAATGAGCAACAAATTTGCAAAAATATCTTAACAACAACAACAACAACCATTGAAAATTCAATAGCCATTACTCATCATTTTCAAAGGACCAATAGTGAATTAATTAGTTTGAATTTTTATATGATTGTCAAAACCCAAAACATATATGTTGTTTAAAATGAAAAGTTTTTCACACCGATTAATAATTAAAACAAGTAATGTTTATAGTCATCTATCTATCTATCTATCTATCTATCTATCTAGTCGATTGATTGATTGATTGAAAATTGTACAAATTTTAATCATTTTTGACCATCTAACTATATTGTTGAATGATTGTAAAAAAAAAGTCGGTAACAATATGCAATGGATTTTAGTTGGATGCAATATAGAAGCTTGTGTATTTATGTACACAATCATAAGTAAAACAAGGCATCAGAATGTTAAACATAATCAAGGTGGAAACGATTAATTATTATCAAATTGTAATATAATTAAACATGTTTCAGTATCATAGTACAAAATATTCTATGAAAAAAAAAAATAGAATTATGGTAATTTACACAAACTAGTTAATTAATGAAGACGAAATTATAGACTCCATGTTATGAATTAACACAGAGAAGATATATATATATATATATATATATATATATATATATATATATATATATATATATATATATATATATATATATAGACTATCTAATTATTGTGTGCACATAAGAATTGAAGAGTCTCTAAGTAAATATCAAATCAAGATTGATACCAAATGATCTTCTTAGCCACATACTCTATACGTAAACAATCTGCGTTTGTGCTCTCTTGGCGTTTTCACCATTAAAAATAGTTTAAGTGTCCTGATACTAAAAAAGTCAATTTTATTTTTGACAAGATATCGTTAATGAACAAGTGGACTGACTCATGTTGGTAGATGCAGACTACCCCTGTTGAGGTCCACGAGATGATAGTAATCGATGGTTAGAGATCTTGAATGACATAGCTCAAAACTATGTGCAATGATGCAGGCCCATTCATTTTTTGGCTTCTCTCGAATCCTAATCGTCTGGATTCTACATCACCTTTATCTTGCTCTTTTTAAGTTTCTTTCATTGGATTATACTTCTTAAATAATATCCTCGAATCCTAATCTCTCTGACGATTGTTAATACTGCTACTACGTCTACTACTATGGGATTTGAATTGACAATAGCGTCTCTGTGCTAATGTGGTATGGCAACATGCACTGATGTATGTATGTATGTATGTACGTACGCAGTTCTACGTTGTAATTGACTGACAGAGACATATAGATCTCCGTTATATAGGAATTAGAGAGCAAAATTGAATAAGCAGCTAGATATTGAATTCAAAAACTATCATTATTTTAATCAAACAAGAATGATCCATAGATTTGTAATTCTTGTTAATGATTTTACATCCTACTTTTATGAAACTGATATCTCATAGTAAAAGCTTATAATTATTTGGAACAATTTAAATTTCTTACTTTATATGCACAATTCAATAACATTTTTATAAAACTATGATATTTGTTGACGAAATTGAGTAATTTCAAACTTTAATGTACGTATGTAAGCATGAAAAATAAATTAAGGTCATGGTAACGATTTTTTTGAGAAATGTTTCTATTAACATCTGCAATAAGTAATAATACATGAGTGGGTCTAATCAATGAATTTGTTGTTCAAATGACCGTATTACAGATAATAATAATAATAAAGAATTAAAAATGGAATACACTATTTTCTTCAGTTTATATCACATAGTGATTTTAGCTAGGTAATCATTGAAAACTAGAAGGGGCATAGGATAGTTTTTTTTATCCTAGAATGGAATTTATCACGTTAGCTACGATGATCCAATCACGAATTGAAACCGGAACAATCTACGCTACGCGGTGAGAGCATTTGCTTCTGATCACTGAATTGGCATTGAATGGTTTATTTTGAAACTTTTTAATTGATTCCCGACAATGTATGAATATCATCCATTGCAATCGGTAGTATATAGGTTCGTGTCCAACAATCATTGAACTCCAATGACAGCGAAATTTAAATCGCAAGAAGTAATGTATTGAAATTTAGGACCAGTTAATGAGAATATCAAAGATTTTCTTATTTTATTGATGTGTTATCTGTTTAGAAAATCTTCTAAACACAACTCCGTAACCAAATGTAAAACAGTCTTATTTGCTACGATCTGTACCTAGGTGTATTTGAAAGTTCAAGGCATTACAAATGTAAAATCACAGAGCAGTAATCTCAGACGAACAAATGAAGCTTCATAACATAATAAGAGACAGGTTTCTAACTTTCACGTGATGCTTACTTGACCATCCAATTACGTTACATTCTCGCTATATGCATAGAAGATCACTAGGTCGTATTCAACTGGCTTACTGTTGTATCCTAATGACTTTTACTTACGCCAATTACCCCTAATGGAGCATAGACCACCGACCAACATTTATCAACCTATTATTTCCTGAGCCTTTCTTTCCAGTTCTACCTAATTTCTGTCCGTTCGTTTCCGATTCTCGGAGTAATGTGTAACTGCTATGTCTGCTTCAAATGCCTCAACTGAAATGTTGTCTGGTCCTGCTGCTATGCCACTCTTGATTTATCTGATGACCATGAAGATTCCTTTGATATTTGGTGGGTCAATATCAGTAGAGAGGTCTCTAGGCACTGCCTCGATGTTAGGTAGATTCAGTGGGGATGGTCAAATTAAGAGTTCTTTAAGATCATCCTTCTAACCTGATTTGTCGTTCTTAGATCTCATTAATTAATCTGCCTTTCTTGTTCTTAACTGGTTGTTCCGGTTCACCATACTTTCGAGCGAACATCTTCGATGTATCGTATAGCTGCAATATGTTTCCTTCTCTGACATCCTTTTCTGCTATCATTGCTAGATCTTCCAAATATTTTCACTTATCAGATATAATACTTCCCTTCATCCGCTTGTTTGCTTCTGTGCATTCACATTGTGCCTTGAATTTCTTGGCTCGTGCTTGACTGTTAGTAGCTGCTGTCGACCGGTTCTTCCTACCCTGAATCTTATCCAGTGCATCAACAGTCAACTACTTCCGAATGCTTAACTAAAACATCATTCATCGTCCACAATATAGCTCAACGTTATTCTAGATGGTCCAATCAATAAAGTACAACAACAAACCAAGATATTGTGTATTGATTATCAAGAAACTGTTGTATTTACTTAAAGGACTTATGCTTACCGATCAACAGCAAGGCGAAATATATGAGTGATATCTCCGATTAGAGTGATTCTCAAATATAAATAGTTTGTAATACTAGTTAGATTTTCATCTTCGCCGTTCTTCTCCTTTTGTAATAATTGACTGTCAGACGTACTCACCAAGGTTTCTAAAGATGTCGTCGACAGTTGGTGTGATGATAATGATGATGTTGAAAAATTTGTTTCAATTTTAGGGGGAATCTCAGAAGCTTCCAATTCTTCATCAATATTAATACCATCATTGTTATTGGCAGGACTAATAGAATTTCCGCTCATAATTGATTCACTAGTTTCATCAGGCTGTCGTCCAACATTGTGATTATTGGATAAATTGGAATCTGTTAGTTGATTATCTGTATAGTTAAAAAAGATAGAGAAAATAAAAGAATATTATTATCAATGAAAACCTAATTCTAAATAACATACTTTGACAATAGAGTAGGCAATCTGAATCAACACATTGGAAGTATTTCAATGTTATCGATTACTAGAAATATTTAGTTGACTATTTGCAAACTTGAAACTTGTCTACCAATACCTACCTGTTTTATTAGGTTACATATTCTCATATTTATGAAGATAAAATAAAAAATTGCCGAAAGAATGTTCTGTCCACACCCCCTCCTCATTAGAGAATTACTTAATAATATTCATTTATAGTTTATTGGCAAAGCAAATCCCGAAAAAAGTCTTATTACTAATTATTAATGTCAGTCCGTATTTACTGTGAATTTACAATCTATGTTTACCAATCAGTATGTTTGATTTAACTTCAATTATTTAAAGTTTAATTAAGGAATAGCTAATCTAAATTAAGTTTATTTGAATTGACAATGACATCTCTGTGCTAATATGGTATGGCAACTTGAACTGATGTGCGTACGTACGCACATACGAAGTTTTACGTTGCTGTTGATTGATCGAATCTAAATCAAACATTATGGATAAAATATTTCGACTTTCTATTTATGTTCACTATTTATCAACAGATAAATAAGAATCATCTAATGCAATACAATGAATCCAAATCTTAATAGTGATAAGTATATCGAATGAGATGAGTTAACAGAATAGCTACATATATGCATGAATAAATTTCAATTGTCGACATTGTTTTATTGAGTTATTTACTGCCAAAGTTTTCAATAACCAAAACAAAATCTCAACAGTTGATTTAGCTTAGTCACTTATGAATATTAGAACAATAAATACATAAGCGAACAATATTGTTTTAGATTAGATCGTCATTAGACATTACTCTAAAATACATGAATATTCATATGAAAACGTGAAAGCAATCAAGGCGATTTGAGTCAACAATCACAATGAAATAAATCTATTCAGTGGATATTTTATGTCAGGAGCTAGAATTTATCAACAGCTCACTGACCGAGATCAGCTATCATGGCGTGTTCATAAAGAAGTACATATATTTAATGTAAAAAAAGAAGTCGGATACTTCGACCGTTCGAAAGAAGCCTTTATTTATTAAACTACAGTTCAACGGAGATGTGGCTAGCGATACTCTGCAGGACAGATTAACAAAAGTAATAAGTAGAATCTTCTACGTATCCAAACTTGCGTTGACCTTCTCAAGTCGACCAACAATGTCTACCCAAACGAAGAGTAAGTTACCTGAGTTGGCCCCCTCTATGTGTATTTACAAATTCAGCTGCTCCTGTGGAGATAGCTATATCGGGCGTACTACCAGGCAACTTAACCAACGAGTGAGTGAACACCTCCCAGCATGGTTTATGAAGGGTTAGATAAAAACAATACACAGTTCTATCTTGACACATCTGGTTGATAGTGGTCATATTGTAAATAAATCTGTATCGTTTCGAGTGATCTATCGAATACCTCCATCATTTCCCAACGTGGTTCGATCCCGTCTCCTAAACATTAGCAAAGCCATAGGAATTCGTACATTCAACCTCAATTTATGTGTCCAGAAGAAATTCGTGACACCTCTAGCTCTTCAGGCACCGGATATGACTTGACCAACGTTATACAAATTTTTTCTAGATTTTATTTTGTAATTATTAGCTTTATTTTCACATCGTGTATTTGTTGGTAATTTTCTACCTCTTTCCGTTTATATTCTTCACTATCTAATTATGTACACACTTCCTATTACGTAATGGTTTTAATGTTTTGTAATGATTATTTTGAATGTTGAACTATTGATAAAACTGTTTTTATCGTATTTTATTTTTCTTACTACTACCAGTATATCTGTCTTCTTACTATCAATTTGTACTTTTACCTATTATGTATAGTGACATAATCTATTTCATTGTGATTATGACTCAAATTGCCTTGATTGGTTTTAACATTTTCATATAAATATTCATGTATCTATTAGAGTAAAGCAGCCTGATAACGATCTAATCGAAAACAACAATATTGTTCGCTTATATCTGTGTTGTTCTAATTTTCACAATGAGAATCTTTAATATACTTATGAATATTTATTGTTCATTGAGTTATTTCAATTAAACTAATGAAAATCTACTTATAATATATACAAATTGAAATGAGCATATAAAAACTACATAATAATAATGGTAATAATAGTAATAATAATAATAATAATAATAATAATAAAACAATTTTGTTATCATTAATTATCGAGTATGTTAATGATTGAAAAAAACAACCTTTAGACAATAGTTCAGAGTTTAATTTATATAGAGATTGAAAAATCATAGAAAATAATATCATATGATGTGAATTATATAATTGTATTTGTATTCGTTGAAATAAAACTCAAAATAAAATTATCACTAAAAATTAAAAATAAAATAAAATAAAGAAATAAAGTGTTTGGTTTACTCATGATAAGTAAGATATAACTAGGATATCAAGTAAAAGGTGAAAGATTTATCCACATAAATGAAGTTACAGTTAATTTATTTTTAACGTAAATTATTCTTTTATTCATTCTACTTGTTAAATAATAAAAAAAGCTGAAATTTTTTTTGATAAATGAACAATGAAAAACTTACCAGTATTTTCATTAGTTGATTTGATGATATTTTCATTTGTACTTCTTTGTATATTGTCATGCTCGTCGATTTTTTCATTTTGTAAAGTTGAATTGGATAGTGAATTTATTTTATCGTTACTTTCCGATCTACAGAAGAAGAAAAAAGGTGATAAATTGTGCTAGAGTTAAATTAGCATTAGAAATTTGAAAAAAATAAAGTTCATAGTTCACAAATTTAATGATGAAAACTTTTAAAATCATCTATAAGCCTTCAAAAATGTGCCTTTATCAGCTGAACCAAAACCTACTACTACTACTGTAGTGAACGAGAACACAGGTGGGGCAACCGAACTGTATTTAACGAAAATTACAGAGTTACTCAGTAAAATCGGAAAACCATATCGTAAATCGTTAATTTGCAAAATATCAGTCCATCATATCGAACTGGACTGTTCCTGTTGCAAAACATCAATCCATTGTCAGTATTCATGCGTTTCATACAAATTCCATTGTGTTCTAACTCTTGCTTTCTTGATCTTCCCCATCTTCTGCTGCCAGACATTACGTTGACACTCACGTCATATACTACTTATAAGTAGCTCGCACCACACTACTACTACTACTGCTATCTAAACTATTCTCTTTTTCAAAAGTATGAATCATTCTGAGATGGTGGAGAAAATTTGTAGCTCAGATAGATGATTATAATGGTGTTGCGTTCTCTGAGCTGGATGTTTTGGTTGTGAAGCTTTTATTGTTCTTCTGAACAACATCATCAACAAAAAACTTGAAGATTCTGAGCTTGTAAACTGAAGAATAAATTTATCAAAAAAAAATACATGGTTATAAGTTATATTGGCTTTGAGGACAATTATAGCAAGGTTGAGAACGTGAATGTGTAATAATGACAGTAGTTGAAAAGAATTAAAAATATTACGTGTGCTGAACAAAACGGTATATTGAATAAAAGATTATAAACTGCTTCATTGAGATTGTATTATTTAATATCTAGTAATTGGTTCTAGCTTTTAACGATGATAATAATACAAGAGAAAGAGAATTTAACAAACGGATTAGATTTATTTTGTTCAACAACAACAATAACAGATCATAGTCACATCAAATAATCCGATTTCACAACTCTATTATACGCTGACCAACCTGCGGGGGGATGTACCAGCTGACGAAAAAGGAAATCAGTATTGATCAAATTGAATTTTCGTTACGTTGAATTATTCATAGTAGGGACTTTTTCATGAACTCTCAATACATTTTTAGTGACATATACTTATTTTATAAATTTTATTCATTTCAGTAGATATATACGCGATTAACTTGAATATATTTTCGATTGATATAATGAGGTCATCGTCAAAAAGACCTTAATTGTATAATATAGTGAGTGAATAAATAATTATGCAGATATTTATCTATTTATTTAAATTTTTTGTTCCCTTATAATCTTGTTCCATGTATTTTGTTTATATGGCTTGTTTAATGTCCTTTCGGTGGTTTTGTTTATGTAACACATGGTTAGGACATGTGTTACGAATGTCCAACCACTGACTACCTCGACAAGCGATGTTTTGTGGTGTAGGAGTAGATTGGAAGAAAGTTAGGGGTGGCCAGAGCAAAACATGGCACAAATCCATGAAGTCACTGACAAGTGGATTGAGTGGTGTTGGCAGATGTAGGCTACCTGGTTGGGGTCTGCGAGACTAAAGTCACCAATGGTTATAGACCTAGAATGACATGGCTCAAAATCGTTTCCAATGGCACAGGTGATTTCATTCATTGTGCTCTCTAAAATCCTAATCTTCTGAATTCCTCATCATCTTTGTCCTTCTCTTTCTAAAGTTATCTCACTGAATTATACTTCTCAAAACATATTTTCGAACCCTAATCTTCTCCATCACTGCTAATACTTCTACTATCGACACCACTATGGGATTTGAACTGACAGTTGCGTCTTTGTACTGATGTGGTATGGCAACCTGAACTTATGTACTGATATACGATGTTCTACGTTGTAACTGACTAACTGACCTGTCACTTCAGAATCACTTACTTCACGACTTTATTTTTCGTCTTATTAATTTGCCATTTTGGTAGCTGACTATAAGGATTGAACCACGTGACTTGAACTAATAAATATTCATGTCATATACTGCGTAAAATAAAGAGAGAGTAGCCTAAAATTTCATTTATATAGGCTAGTGGAATTGAACATTTGACTAACCATCATATCTACTCCACCTACTTCAGTTTAGGCATATTATTTTTCATAAAATAAATTTTAGATTTTTGCATTAGCCCCTGTTTATCATGGCTTATTATTTTTTAATGCAATATAATAAAACACATGAAATTAGAAAGAATTAAAGCATTGAAACAAGCACTTACTTTAAAATGTTTACAACATCACTTTCAAAAAGTGTTTTCATAGCAATGATTGAATCTAATGGAATGCATAAACCTAAACTGAGTAGTTCTTGAGGAATATTACAGCAAGAAAACTCAGAATTATTATCATGACAAGTGGGTGAGTGATTGTTAGATTCATGATGTGATTCAGATGTTTCATTGTCATTAGCGTTATCAGTATTTGGAGATAATTCAGAATGAGAAGCTAAATACGCCTGTTTTTGTGCTACCGCAGTTTGGCTTGCATCGAAACATAATGATTCTGGAGTGACCAACAAAACACCATCTATCAAATTCTAGAATAAAGAGACAGAAAAACTGCAGATAAAATTCAGAAATTTTGATATCACGTAGTTTACATAAGAAACAATTTTAGTTCAATCGATATTCCACTCTTATACGCAAAGTATTAATATAAAATCAAAAACCAGATGAAAAATATTCCCTATGCTTATTTCTGATGAAGATTCGCTAGTTAAAAAGTGAAATATTCCCACTAGGTTGGATGACTGGGGAACTAGTGAGTCTTTATCTCGACCAAAGCTGCTACCTTGACATAGTAGTCAGGAGTACCTATCTCATACCACCAACAGCACGCAAGATCAACTTGCTCACAATAAATCCTTCCTTCACTTCTTAAAAACTCTCGTGGCTCCACGACTAACCCTTCTCGCATACCCTTAGCAGCTCACGCCGTTAATACTAACAATTTGAATACTCGAAATGTTATTCCTGATCTCCTAAAATCTCGCTCTAAACTAAACATTGCAGCTTTCAATGTTCAGATCATGTGCCGAATAAGACCACAGTTATTCGTTAGGTCGCACCATGAAGAAATAGACAAACGTCGTGACTGACGCTTTGTGTATCTGGAAGCCCCTCTGCCGCTTTCCGTGGGCTCGTTGGAATAGGAAGCGGCGAAAGTTAACAGTAGAGAGCTACTCAGACTTATCAAGGAAACTGGTATTAGGAACTCGACTGTTAGTGAGACTATCTCGAAAAAAAGTTGGGATCAATACTCATTCTCGACTCAGGAAATGGGATAGATTGGTAGAACACCTTAGGGAGCAGTTCAACTGGCCCCCAGCCAAACTTCCGTTACCCGTGATCCCCAGCCAACCAGAATGACTAATTGATGTAAATACTCCAACTTTTAATGAATTTGGAAAGGGTATAGGAAGTCTGAAGCGAGTGACAGCAGCAGGCTCTGATAAGTGAATCCATGGAATTTTTGAAAATGGTGGTCCAGTTTTAGCAGTTAGGTTGACTGAGATCTTAGGTAGAATTTGGGAACTAGACGTAATCCTAACTGACTGGTCTCAATCACTGATTGTCCCAGTCTATAAGAAAAGACAAATGTCCTCTTGTGACAATCACAGAGGAAACAGCCTAACTAATATACAGTTCAAAGTGTTAATTTCCATAATACTTAGACGTGAAGAGCAGACTCAAGAAAACCAGGCTGGTTTGAAACCTGGTCGTGGATTTATAGACCAGATATTCACACTCTGAAAGGTTTTACAACACATACACACATTTAGACGTCCAAAACTACTTGTATTCATGGGCATTACGGCGGAGTTTTGACTCTGTGGTAGTGACTGTCATTGAAAGGAGTACCACAAAAGTACATTAGCATGACAAAGCAACAGTATTGCGACTGATTTATGTAAACAATGTTCAGTCTTAAACTTTTGAAGTTATGGCATTCACTTATCACTTCATCGTATTCTATTTCTTTATAATATATAACTAGTACTTCCCATTATAAAGAATAAATATGATTCTTGGATTATCATTCATGAAAATTCCTAGAGCTAAAAATTAATAAGAGCATATCAATGATAATGGGGTATTCAGAAATACAACAGAAAACTGAACAAGTGAATGTCAAAAAAACTTACATCAAGACTGTTTAAAACACGATAGGCATTTACTTTGACGAATTGACGTTCCAAGACATCATCATCAATGGAATAAGCTTTATTAGGATTCAATACACGTGTTGTGTAAAAGAAAGGTTGGACAGCTAGAAATCCAGTGTTTGTATGATCAGTATTTCGCTTATCCATATCTTCTACACGCAGCGCAACACCAGGTAGATGCCTTATTTTAGTTGACTAAAGTCACAAAGTACAGAAAGGAGTTTAAGAAAATCATTTTTCCTGGCTGAATTCTGATTGACATCTGTTTTAAAAGAAAACTTAATTGGGGCTCTTATGTTTATGAGACCATCACCTTCATATCAGATGAAAGATATGTCGATCTTTTTTTAAATAAAGAGCCTATGTTAAAACTTAAAATATTTATATAAACATGGATGTATCATTAACCGTATGTTAACTAGTCATAGGATAAAATTTAATGCAAAGTATTTTTTCGTCACTGAGTAAATCATTCAGAAAATATAATCTAACAACTCAAAAAATAAACATGATCATCTTAAAAGTATGCAGTGGTCGAAGTCTAACAATCAAGAAAGAGAACCTGTATGAAAAATGAGCAAGAAAAAATTTGAGCACTAACACTCGTGGAAAAACTAAACTAGAAATATTACGGTTTGACGTGAGGGGCTTGATAAGGGAAAGTCGCTATTCGATTAGATGATCGAAATCTATTGGATTTGTTTCTATGCTGAATATTTACCAAACGAAATTATTTCGGATGAGAAAGCAGATCAAGAGCAATTTAAAAAATTAAGATTAGATGATTCAATAAACTAAAAGATTTGGTGAAAATGTGCATTGACTTAAAAGACTACACCTTAAATTATCACATAAAAAGAAATTTAACATTAACGAAAATGGTGAGCTAACAATAAAGAATATATTCATTTTAGATCAGATGGACTTTGAAATTTTTATGAGTTTATAAATATTTGTGTAAATATTAACCGCTTACAGCTTTAAATGTCCTAATAAATTCTTTTGGAAAATACAAGTCATGATAAACACTTCATTTATTTAGTGCTAAATGTAGTAACATTAAAACTGTATATAAACCGTTGTCTCATTTAAATACACAAACCGAGCTTACGATTATAATGTTCTAATATGAATTCTTTCGCAGAAAACAAGAATTTTACATATGAGTTCAATAAAACTAATTATTTTATTGATTTAGACATAAGTGCCCTTAATCAAGGAGCTTTTAGTTAATCAAGCACAAAAACTATCGATGGAATTCGCTAAGTCAGGGCCCACTGAATTTATGTACTTCAGCAGAAACATTTTCCAACAAGGTTACGTTCAGGGAATGCTTTCAGGTATGAATTCCCACATACAATATCAAAAACAATATTATCACTTTCGACATTTAAAGTTCCTTTCCTCCAACTCGGTCTATTATCCGATAATATTTATAAGCACAAAGTTAATTACATTCCAAAGAAAAAGTAATCATAAACTTACACTGTTATTTGCATGTGCAACTGATGGAATAATTAAACGTTGACCAGGGAAAACAGGAGGAAGCCCATAACTCAAAAGAGGTAAATGATTCGCTCTGGCAATCTGAGTAGGGGTTACAAAACCCAACTGAGCAGCGATAGCCGACAATGAATCTCCAGGTTTTACCTTTATAGTACGATTAGTTGACATACTGCTGTAATTACCTCATAAACACAAAACTCTCCTGAAACCTTCATGATGACGTAAAAGCAGAATTAAGTACGTTGAACACTTGACTTAACCACAATTTTGAACATTTATTTCTCTTCACATAACTGGCCAACAAAAGGAATTGTGGATTCCCGAAGTTCAACGAAGGCGACAACAGACAACACTTGTTAGTTGACTTCACGATGACTAGGTAGCAAAAAAGTTGGCAAGTTTTATAGTTTAATGAAGAAAAAAAGTGAAAACGATATGTACAGACATAAATAATCTTGAGTTTAAAGATGACATTTCAAAATCGGAGTTAACTAGTTGTTAAGAAATGGTTAAGCCACAGACTGAATGCCGACGATAAGAACGCTTAATTACCTTTGTTTTGGAGACCGAAGTGCTCTTTAACTATCTAAAACTAACGAGGTATGCAGAATTTGTTGATTTCTAAAAGCATACGAGCTATTATTTAACAACAAACTGAAAAAGAATAATCATTTTTTAAATCTGACTATATTTAAAACATGTAAAATCGATCTACTAGACATCTACTACAAGAAGTCAAATAACAGAGAGAAAAAAGTGATAAAGGAGACAGCTGTGTAGATAAGAACGAATCAAACTGCCTAATTTTGACATATTTACGAAAAGTTTCATCCTACACATGCCTTATTAGTAGGACGAAATTCTTGCTAGTAACCTATTCAAGTTAGAACTTGTCTACTGTGCGTTGAAACGCTAACGGAAAAGACCTATTTACCTGTCTAAACCATGTGGCATTTAAAGGTTTATTAAGTTTATTAACACTTTGGGACTGAAGTGTCTTCTAATTTACTCTCTTTTCTTGAAAAAAGACAAGAATTTCCTCGAATACGACCCGGAACATCACTCTAAGCGAGGTTTACCTGGAACAATATTGTTTCCTACAAGGGCCACTATGAACCTGAATACAAAGTTGGTTTGCTAGAGCGCAGTTCCGAATGCATCGGAGATTTTCTGAAAAACTAGTGAGGCCTAAGGAACAGAGGTCAACACACGTTTTGAAAGAATAGTGAATAATTTGAAAGGAATCGAAAAATAATAGTATATAGTGGTATTACTACAGTGTTACGAGAAAAATCAACGTTAACTTATTGGTTCTCATATAATTTGTAAGCGTATACATTAGAAAAATAAATAACATCAGAAACGTTAACACTGCATATAAACCTAAAAATATTTTGCATGCCTTAAAAAGTAAACTGCTTGAGAATAAGAAATCTTGAGACGCCAAAACCGATGACCACAATGTGACGCAACAAACCTTACATCCCACGTTTGGGTCACACTCTCAATATCCAATATCTAATATTTTTCACGGGATAATATAAACCGATTAATTTCTTTTCACTCAAATCTTTTTCTTTCGGTACGGTTCTAGGTATTTGCAAGTGTCCAATGGATAGTAGCCTAGTTATTCGACTGCGATAATTCTAGTCATTTGGCAGCTATATATAAATTTGTATGTCCCATGACTTGAATGAGTATGTTTGTTTCAAGGCAGTAGGGATTTTGGACACCAGCAGCCACCGTGTTACCAGGAGGAAGTCAGTTAGTTGCAATTAGGGGGATAATAAGGATAAAATTCCAGTGCTCATGAGAAGATTTAAGAACTAAATCAGTAAATGGATAAATAAATTAATTAATCAGTAGTAAAGAATGAGTCAAATGACCGGAATATAAGCATATGAGATGAGACAGAGATAGTTAGTTAAGTATATTAAGTTAATGGTCTGAAGAAATCTCAACAGTAACAACCAGCAGGTTTCAAGACATGCTTCATCTACAACTGGTCCAACATGTGGTTGAAAATCCGTATGTGATTACGTATGTGTCCCTTCTCGAAGCTATCCACTAAGAGGGCTGTGGTCACCTCAGCTGGAAGGGCATCTCAAAAAGCAACAACTATTGGTGGGAAAACGTGTGTACGAACCCAGGTATTTTCGAGGATTTCCTCGGGCGGCATGCTGGTAATGCTTCGCTAAAGTGTTCATGTTGGGATGATTTAGCATACCTAATATGTTGTACGCAATTATCAGGTCTGCTCTGATCTTCCTCTAAATTAGACAGAATTATCTTAACTGCTGGAGTCTAACTTCGTACAGTTAGTTCTCCATCCCGATGTAGCTGCTAGTCTCTACACTCCATCCGAAAGCTTTATGTCTCTTTGAAGGGAAGGAGGTGCGATAAAGTTTTGAACCTCAAGGTGTGAGCAGGTGGATGTTTTGATAAAATGTTAAGCATAGTTTCGGAGTAACTGCTCCATGCTCTATTTACACGAAGTAAAGAGTTGCGGTAATCTTGGCTGCCCCCCTGATGAAGTTAGGACTGGTCTCCCGGCCTTCCACGGTAATTAAATCGAGATCGCACTCTGAAGAGAACTAAGGGAGCAAACTCCCGTTGAGGATAAAGACTGAATGTATAGTGTTTGGCAGCATTTCTACTGGTGGAGTCTTAATGCGTTTTTGAATACCCATTCCTTAATAGATGTAAGGTCCCTTAGACGCTCAATTGAATGGCCTTCCTTTATTTTTCAACTCTAAATCCAATATCTTATTCCATTTTCACGAGCTAATATAAACCTATTGATTTCTTCGCCTCCGATGTATGTATCGTCAGCATAGATTAGTGCCGGTTAGTTAATTTCATCTAACAAGTCATTAATAATTTTCAGGAAGAGGAGTGGATCAACAATGGACCCATGTGAAACTCCTGGTATTGAGACTGGCCAGCTCCCATGCACTTGGTCTGTGTTCGCCCTGAAAATGGTGATCCTTAAGTAGATTCAGCTGTCTTTTGAATGATTACGCAGATTGGGTTACAAACGTGAGTTAAGGTAACTAGTTCTATCCGTTGATGATTAGATAGTCATTTGATAAGTAGAATTTATTTCTAGTAGATCGGTGAATCGCAAAGCCTGTACATGATGCTCAATAGCTTTCAATCACAAAGAACTCAAACTTCCTGTATCATTGTGAATTCCTTCTTGTTCATGGATTTAAAGTATAAGAAATGTTTATTTCCTTTATTCATTAACATCCAAACACCTTGCTTGCTTACCTATTTATCTCCTTACTCATGAATTTTTTAAACACTATTTTTCCTCATATTCCTTCGTGAGCTATCAATCCATCCTTTCCCAAAACTACTTACTGACTGACAAATATCTTACAATATATACCGTTAATTAACTTGATATCTGTGTGATATGTTACTTGGATATTTAGTCTAACATACAGAAGCCAAAGTTGTCATAATAACAGTTCAGGAAGAAACAGAGAAACTCAAAAAAGCACAAAAATTAGAAACTATAACAAAATAAAAATAACAACATCCCGAAATGGGATTAAACAGACTACCAAAATGTAGGACAGAAAGAGTCAACAAGA